AAAATATGTTTTTTAAAATTTAGACTTTCTAGAGTGTGAGACATGTCTGCTCCTGGCAGCACCAATTTACTTTAGAGAGGAGGATGGGCATCAAAGACTCTCTATATGGAGTTTATCTTCTTCTTGGGAAAAATAGCCATTTGGGCAAGAAACTGTTCTTGCATGGACTGCTTGATCAACTGGACATACAGGACTCATAAGAAGGTGACCACTGAACTTTGCTTGACAAAATGGTCCTTCACAGAAGAAACTGCCAGACATTCTTCAGGACACAGAGAAAAATGACTGAGAGACTCTAGGCCTGTGGGCTGAAGACAGATGCTCCAACTTTACAGAAAAACTTTGGATAACTGTCCAGGCTGCCAGCTGTCTCTGTCTACTCTCGCAAGACTCCTTAAAGTTGCTTCCATCCTTCTCCTGTTTCTCAGGTAATATTATAAGCTTCTGAGGTCTTTCATATTGTTGAAAACTAGATAGTTGCAATTTCCTCAGAAATGATAAAAGATAAGTTAGATATGAAACCTTAGACTCACAAATATAGGATAGATAGAATATCTTCTTTAATTTTGACAAATACAAATAGACTAGATATTATAAATAGACTAGATATTGTAACTGTAATTCTTGCTTGATAATTGTTCTGTTATATGTAATTTTACTATGTTAAAGTTAAAACCTTCCTTTTTGAAAAAAAGAAAAGGGGAAGTGCTTGGGATGCTGTGAATGTGTTGCTCTGATTGATTGATAAACAAAACACTGATTGGCCAGAAGCCAGGCAGGAAGTATAGAGTAGGCAGGATAAGGAGAGAGGAGAATTCTGGGAGGTGGAAGGCTGAGTGAGGAGACGCTGCCAGCCGCCACAGCGATGTAAAGCACCAGTAAACCATGAGCCACATGGCAAGGTATAGATGTATAGAAATGGGTTAATTTAAGATATAAGAACTAGATAGCAAGAACCCTGAGCCATTAGGCCATGCAGCTTTAATTAATATAAGTCTCTGTGTGTTCATTTGGGTCTGAGTGGCTGCGGGACTGGCGGGTGGGAGAGATTTGTCCTGACTGTGGGCCAGCCAGGACCAGGAAAACTTTAGCTACAAGGTGTGGTGGTGACTTTACTCCCAGCACTCACAGGAGAGTGTCTGTGAGTTCCAGGCCAGCCAAGCCTACATAGTAAGAAAAGAAAGAAGAAAACAAATTTTTTCCTCAGGAGACAGCATGAACACAGTCCCTACTACCACAAATTGTACAGTTGAGTTTCCCACATTTGGAGAAACCTTAGGGTTTAGCACATCTGGTATGCAAGGGATGAGCCTTGCCCGGAGAAAACCACCTTCGTGATCATGGCTTATCCCCTGCCAAGTAAGACTAGAAATAAGAAAAAATTTTAAAAGAGTAACAGGGTCTGGAGAAATGGCTCAGAGTTTAAGAGCACTGGCTGCTCTTCCAGAGGTCCTGAGTTCAAGTCCCAGCAACTACACGGTGGCTCACAACCATCTGCAATGAGATCTGGCGCCCTCTTCTGGCCTGCAGGCAGAACACTGCATACATAATAAATAATTTTTTTTTTTAAAAAAAAGAGTAACAACAGGCTAAGGTAGGAGGATCTTTGAGGGCTGTTGAGCCCAGCCTAGGACACAAAGCAAGACGTTAAAACAAAACTCGAGATGAGGGAGTGAAGGAGGAAAGAGACTGGGAGAAGGAAAAGAAAGGAAATTGAGGTGAAAGGCAGTGGATTACAGGGGAAAACAACACCAAGAAGAGCCAGAAACCCTGGCCGACCTCCCTTCTCAATTCAACCAACCTGCCCCTCAATTACCCCACCTACCACTAGCACAAACACACCCAGAAACTCTGCCAGGTACTGTCGGGCCATGAGGCTTCGGATCCAGAGGTGGGTCCCGATTTTTACATGTACAAGCCATGGTGGGGACACCTGCCTCTGTTCACTGCTCCCCCCGTCTGCTCAGACACACGGTTGCTACACACATAATTATTGCCTGCCAGAGGAAAACATAAGGAAGAGACTTTAAAACCAATTATCTCAGCTTTAAGATAATAGTAACATCGGTGACACGTGTAACCTAGAAAAAGAAAATGGCTTTATCTGATGTGTAGAACTAGAATGTAGGGAGGTTGGTCAGGCCCTGCCTCTTTTGCCCTTCATCCCCGCTCCTCACAGGACTGGCTTCCCCCTGTGCTGACGGGAGGGACCCTGCTTCACGGATAGTCCTCCTGGTCCTGAGGACAACACTGTGAAGCAGTAGTGAGGTAGGCTAGAAAGGCAAGGTAAGAGGACACGGGAAGGAAAAGCAGCGTTTCCCCCCCACACACCCAGGCTTCTAGAAAGAGCCTCTCAACAACTGAGGAGCAAGAACCCTACACAAGGAGCAGTTGCTAAAGGGCCTTCTCTCTTCCCAGCTAAAAATCTGTCACTTTCTAGGACTCGAGCCAGAGACTATTGTGTAACCTTGGTGGCCAGCATTATCAGATTATAGTTCCATAATAAAACAGGATAATAAAATATTCAGATTATAGTTCCATCCACCGCACCTCTGCAGCTCTAACTTGACTTACCAAGAGAAAGAAAGAGGTTGCTTTTAAGTTTCTATGGCAACCTTTTGAGATAGAACATGAGCACCACAAAAAAATGCATATACAGCTAATGCTAAGACAATTATGATTCTCCGTTGGGGAAGCCACACCCACACTTAAGCATATCTTACTTTCTGTGACTCTCTATTCAAGAAGCCCACACCCATGCTAAAATACCTACTAGCCAGGCATGGTGGCACATACCAGCCTTGGTGGTAATCCTAGCCCTTGGGAGGCAGGAGATATGGATTTCTACATTTAAGGTCAGCTTGATCTACATAGTGAAACAGGACAGCCAGAAAGAAGCTATACAGTGAGACCCTGTCTCGAAAAATAAAATACATTAATTAATTTAAAAATATTTAATAAAATCTGCAACTCACTGAATATAGTGGTGCATTCCTTTAATCCCAGCAGGGACAGACAGACCTCTGTGAACTGTAGGCCAGCCTGGTCTGTATATTGAGTTCCTGGCCAGCCAGGGATATAGTGAGACTCTGTCTTTTTCTGGGGTGGAGTTTAAGACAGGGTTTCTCTGTATAGCTCTGGCTGTCCTGTAACTCACTGTGTAGATCAGGCTAGCCTTGAACTCAGAGATCTGCCTGCCTCTGCCTCCCTAGTGCTGGTATTAAAGGCGTACTGAAATTCTTTTCTGCATCAAAACCATGAATCCTGGTTTGATCTCAGTCAGGGTCACTAAAAAATTAGAGAGAACTCCTTATGCTATTGAGAGCAACAGATCCTAGTCTACAGATGAAGATACTGAGCCCAAGCATTCCTTCATGACCACACAGTGGCTAGGTGAATTCAAATGCAGGTCTCCTGTCTGTCTGGTATTCTCCAAAGCCTCTCATGTGGAATGTAATATCTCCCCGAGCTACTTGGATGTATGAAGAACTCAACAGACATCTAGAGACACTGAACTGAAGACCGTAGGCTGTGGTGGTGGACTGAAGACCGTAGGCTGTGGTAATGGATTGCCGACCGTAGGCTGTGGTAATGGACTGAAGACCGTAGGCTGTGGTAATGATTGTTGAGTTGGGTACAGGAGTGAGACAGGGCCTTTCCAGGTAGCCCAGGCTGCCTCAGCCTCTTCAGTGTTAAGATCACAGGTTTGGGTGGGGGTGATGGCACACACCTTTAATCCCAGCACTAAGGAGGCAGAGGCAAGCAGATCTCTGTGGCCAGCCTTGTCTGATCTATAGAGTGAGCTCCAGGACAGCCAGGGCTGTTACACAGAGAAACCAGTCTCGTAAGAGCAAGGAGAAAAAAAAAAGAGCGCTTGCTTTTCTTGCGAAGGACCAGACTTTGTTTCCCAGTCTGGTCCTCACATCATCCCTAACTCCAATACCAGGGGATCCAATGCCCTCTTCTGACTTCCAAGGGTGCCAGGTATATTTGTGGTACATGTACATGGAGGCACAACACTCACACACATAAGATGAATAATACTCTAAATTTTAAAAAATGCTTTGAAGGAAGAGAAATTCCTTGAGCTGTGTGACTTAAAGATTTTTGTGTGTGTTTAGTAAGAGTTTCAATATGCCAAGTCACATCCTCTAGACCTGTAGCGGGGGATAAGAATAGAAGCTGTATGGTCATACTAATAGTAAACGCTTTGGGTCCAGCGACACTGTAATATGGTAAGCAGCAGGGGGATCTGGAGTTCTTACTTATCTTTCTCTGTCCTGAATCCAAAGAAACCCTAGAGTACATCTGCCAGTCCATCCTCTGGGGGTAGCCGGTGCTAAAGGTTGACTTAAGCAATGAAGGAGACCATCTACAACAGAAAACTGGTGCAGATTCAAGTGAAGGAGGGGCCAAGTTCCCGCCCAGCAAGCCGCAGAACTCGGCAGCTTTGGTCGCGTGGTTCTGACTTTAGAGTCAAGGATAGAAGAAAGGGGTTATGGAATCTCCCTCCATGGCTAGGGAAAGCCACTGAGGCCAGGTGTGTGTCAGGGGTGTCTATGGTGGTATTCTATTTGTACTGAAATGTGATTTTAATTGTATGTTAATAAATAAAGTTGCCCTGGGGTCAGAGCTATTAGAGCCATAGAAAGAGCATGGCGGTGGTGGCACACACCCATATGATCCCATAGATCTCTGTGTGTTCAGGGATACAGCCAGCATTGGAGACATATGCCTTTAAGACCTGGAGGGCTGTACTTACAGGCAGTGATGAGGCAGTCATGTGTTTGGGTTTACAACCAATGAGAAGGCAGAACAGAAAGACTATATTAAAGACAAACACACAGGAAGTAGCTCTCTTTCGGAGAGTTAGGAGCACCGCAGGAGGAAAGGTAAAATTTTAGCTCTGAGCTCTGACCTCTTGGCTTTCTCTTTTACATTGGTTCTGTGTTTCTTATTTAATAAGATGGTTGGTTACATCTACAGGTGTCCCTGCATGGGGGCTCCAAGAGGCCATTGCATGAAGTTATGAAGGTAAAACCTGGATTGCATCCGTGACCTCAAGATGATGAAGATGCCAGAGTCCTAAGATACCTGCCTTGGAAAGTTCAGACTGGGTGTGGAACCAGCCTGAGAGAGAGAGAGAGAGAGAGAGAGAGAGAGAGAGAGAGAGAGAGAGAGAGAGAGAGAGGTGTACTGCAGTCAACAAGGCTGAAAGGAGTTGGAGATCTGAAAAGAGCTTTGACACCAGACACGGAGAGGCAGAATTCAGAGTTTGCCCTGCTGGTTTTTGTTCTTGTTTTGGTCCAATATTCCCTCACTGTGTTCCATTTCCTCTCTTTTGGAATGGTAATGTTTTTCTGTGTCATTGTATGTTGGAAGTAAATGATCTGCTTTTTGATTTTAATTTTACAGGGGGTTTCAGTTAGGAGATTGCCATGAGTCTCAGAAGAGACTTTGGACTTTAAACAGAGTTGAGACTGTGATAGACTATGGGAACTTTTGGAGTTGGACTGAATGCATTTTGCATTATGATATGGCTACAAGCTTATGGGGGTCAGGGAGTGGAATATGGTGGTCTGAATAATAATGACCCCAACAGGCTCTTATGTTTGAATGCTTAGTCATCAGGGAGTGGCACTATTTGAAAGGATTAGAACAACAGTGTAGTTGGTTGGTTTTTTGTATTGTTGTTTGTTTTTTGTTTGTTTGTTTTTTCACTTTTTTGGCTCTTTGCTCTTTTGGGGGCCCACCACCCAGCTCCCAAATAAATCACACACAGAGACTTATTCTTAATTGTAAATGCCCAGCCTTAGCTTGGCTTGTTTCTTGCCAGCTTTTAACTTAAATTATTCCATCTACCTTTTGCCTCTTGGGCTTTTTACCTTTTCTTACTTCTGTGTATCTTACTTTCATTCTTACTCCATGGCTGGCTGTATGGCTGGGTGACTGGCTCCTTCTTTCATCTTTCCTTGATCTTCCTCCCAGATTTCTACCCATATTTATTCTCTCTGCCTGCCAGCCCCGCCTATCATTTCTCCTGCCTTGCTATTGGCTGGTCAGCTCTTTATTAGACCAATCAGATGTTTTAGACAGGCACGGTAACACAGCTTCACAGAGTCAAACAAATACAACATAAAAGAGTGCAACACATCTTTGCATCATTAAACAAATGTTCCACAGCATAAAAGAATGTAACACATCTTAAAATAATATTCTACAACACAGTAGTTCTCAACCTATGGGTTGAGACCCCTGTGGGAATCAAACAACCCTTTCACAGGGGTAACATCAGATATCCTGCATATATATTTACATAAATGAGATACTTACATTACAATTTGTAACAGTAGCAAAATTGCAGTTATGAAGTAGCAACGAAGTAATTTTATAGTTGGAGGCCACCACAACTATATTATGAGGAACTATATTAAAGGGTTCCGGCATTAAAAAGGTTGAGAACCACTGGATTCGAAGGATTAAGAGGTGTGGCCTTGTTGGAGGAAGTGTGTCACTGGGAGTGGGCTTTGAGGTTTCAAAATCCCACACCTAGGCCCAGGCTCTCTGTCTCTGTCTCTGTCTCTGTCTCTGTCTCTGTCTCTCTCTCTCTCTCTCTCTCTCCAGCTCAGGATGTAGCTCTCAGCCACTGCTGCAGTGTGTATACCATTCTCCTAGGCATAGTAACAAACTAACTCCGAAACTTTAAGCAAGCACCAAATGAAATGTTTTATAAGGGTTGGCTTGGTCTTGTTACCTCATCCCAGCAATGGAACACTGACTAAGACACTGTCCAATATATGTCTGGCCTCAGGACCTGCTGTAGCAAACCCTTGTTCCAATGCATGAACAACAATAAAATTTTGCCGTAAGTCAGGGGGTACCCATCCTAGGTATGGGTTACTTTGAACAAGTATGGTTTTGCTGTTCCCCACATAAGGGGGCATCTGGCTTAAATAGCCATATCCCAAATTTGAAAATACCCACCTTGATATCCATGATTGTTTTAGCTAATTGTGAGAACAGGACTACTGGAAAAAAAGGGGGGGTTATATCTCTTTATGATTTTATCAGTTTTTACTATATAGCCCTGGCTTCTCTGGAACTTGCTATGTAGATCAGTCTGGCCTCAAACTTGAGATCTACCTGCCTGCCTCTGTCTTCTGAGTGCTGGGACTAAAGGTGTGTGCCACTGGGCCAAGCCCCTGTCCCTTTGACTCAAGTTGAATTAACAGGCTATTGAGAAACATCTCATCTAGCACTAATTCTGGCCTAGTTAACGTGGTGTTGTAATTAGTTCCAAATCCTCCCCTTCAAGATGACACACTAGACTCAGAAGTCTAAAGTGCTGGAAGTGGGTAGGAGTCCGGAGACCCAGCAATTGCTCTTTATTATCTAATGCATTTTCATCTTTGGGAGAGGCAGGCAGAAACAAAAAGCTGGCCAGCATTAAGGACAGAAAATGAGGTATATCTTATGATGGAGGAGTAAACGGACTTTTCTGTGTGTGTGTTTGAAAGAAAATGGCCCCCATAGACCCATAGGGAGTGGCACTATTAGGAGGTGTGGCATTGTTGGAGTGGGTGTGGCCTTGTTGGAGGAAGTGTGTCACTGTAGGGACAGGCTTTTCAGTCTCGTTTTCAGTCAGGGTCTATGGGGGCCATTTTCAATCAGGTTTTCAGTCTCGCTTTGGTCCAGTATTTCCTATGTCCCCTTATCTACGTTTTGGAACAGTAATGTATGTCTTGTGCCATCATATGTTGGAAGTATGTGATCTGTTTTTTGATTTTGATTTTACAGGGCATTACAGTTAAAAGACTGAAGGAGTCTCAGAAGACTTTGGACTTTTAAACAAGTTTGAGACTGTGATAGACTATGGGGACTTTTGATGTTGGACTGAACACATTTTGCATGATGATATTGTTACAAGCTTCCGGGGACCAGGGGGTGGAATGTAGTGGTTTGAAAGAAAATGGCCCCCATGGGCCCATAGGGAGTGGTACTATTAGGAGGTGTGGCCCTGTTGGAGGAGGTGTGCCACCGTAGGGCAGGCTTTGAGGTCTCAGATGCTCAAGCTAGGCCTAGTGTGGCATTCACTTCTGCTGTTTGTGGATCAAGATGTTGAACTCTCAGCTCCTTCTCCAGCACCATGTCTGCCTGCAAGCCACCATACTTTCTACTGTGACAACAATGGAATAAACCTCCGAACCTGTAATCCAGAGCCCATTAAATGTTTTCCTTTTTTTTTTTTTTTTTCCCCTGTTTTTTGAGACAGGGTTTCTTTGTGTAGCTTTGCACCTTTCCTGGAACTCACTTGGTAGCCCAGGCTGGCCTCAAACTCAGAGATCTGCCTGGCTCTGCCTCCTGAGTGCTGGGATTAAATATTTTCCTTTATAAGAGTTGCTGTGGTCATAGTGTCTCTTCACAATGATAGAAACCCTCCACTCACTGAGTCATCTTGCCGACTTTTGGGTATGTGTGTGGTTCTGTGGAGGAGTATGTAAATAGGAGTGCAGGGGCCTGCAAAGAATGGAGGCATCAGAGCCCCTGGAAGTTGTGTTACACGGGTTCAGAGAAGCAACTCCAGTACTTTCCAAGAATGGTATATGTGGGCTGGAGAGATGGCTCAGAGGTTAAAAGCACTGGCTGCTCTTCCAGAGGTCCTGAGTTCAATTCCCAGCAAACACATGGTGGCTCACAGCCATCTATAATGAGATTTGGTGCCCTCTTCTGGCCTGCAGACAGACTACACATAATAAATAATTTAAAAAAAAAAAAAAAAAAAAAGAATGGTATGTGCTCTTAACCACTGAATCACATCTCCAGCCTCCAAAGGGGACTTCAGCTCCTGAACAGACCACAACAGTATCTGCCCTGTCTGGGTAATTGGGCTCTTAGAGTTTCTCCTCTTTTGGCTTCCAAAGATGGACTGGAGTGATGAAGTCAGGACTCCATTCCAGGCATTACAATAGCCGTTGGTAGAGTTGGTATCACAAGTGTGAGGTCCCTCCAGGTAGGTTCTAGGGGAAGGGGGTAATATTTGACCAGCACTTGATCTCTGAAATGGGACAATGGTGGGCATGTCTGTGGACTACAGTGTAGGCACTGGAGAGTTTGTTGTATATCTAGGTAGTAGCTTCCTTATCAAGAAGAAAATCATGGGTGAGAAATGGCCACTCCGTGGCTCCTCGTGTGGGCCTAAGCCTAGTGCCTGAGGCAGGCGTTCCTGACTCACAGCAGAGCTGCGGACAGCAAAGCAGTCCACAGAAGGAAGTTTCCTTTTCTCAGATGTCCCTCAAGGACCTCACTACCGTTTCTACACTCCCTCTAAGAGGACTGTGGTGTCCAGGTAGTGGACTATATTTTATCCTTGAGTAATGGTCACCTTACAGGAAGGGCCACTGACACTCTGTAGACTCTTGAGGAGTCCAAATCTGGGAATAATTTGAGGCACTAATACCTTTGCAACCTCTGGGTCCTTTTCTGTTCTTCAGGGGAACACTTGAAACAGCAAGTGTCTACCAATACTAAGAGGTGTCATATGTCCCTGCGCTGGGGCATGTGGATGAAGTCTATACGCCAGTTTTCCCTTGGTACCTCCCAGTGCACTGACAATTATTCATGGAGTTATTTCTCTGGCTGTAGTCAAAGTTTTCCTGTGTCGCACCCGGTCCTCCACGGTCTAGACAAATCTCTCTCACCCTGCTGTTCAGACCCACCCAAGTAAACATACAGAGGCTTATATTATTTACAAACTGTATGGCCATGGCCTATGGCTCAAGCTTCTTGCTAGCAAGCTCTTATATATTAATTTAACCCATTTCTATTCATCTATGTTTTGCCGTGGCTTACCGGTCTGCTGGCATGTTGCTCCCTGGGAGGCAGGCTGGTGTCTTCCTGCCTCTCCTTTCTCTTCCTGTCTACCCTCAATTTCCCCCCTAGTTATAATCTGACTTTGCCATAGGCCAAATGGCTTTATTTATCAACCAATCAGAGCAACACATATTCACAGCATACAGAAAGACATCCCACAGCACCTGACAAACTGTTTAATGATCTTTGAAAGATGTATTTTCCTTCGATTATAAAGAGTGTTGTGCCACCTGATGGGTCTGTCCCCAGTAGAAGGGTTGGTGAAGAGTTTTAGGAATTTTCCATTGATTACCTTCAGGGAAGAGTAATTTTCTTTTCTATGAAATCACCCTGTGTATTGCAAGGCATGTTCCTGTGAATGGTCCCGGTCCTTTTCCTCATGGTAATATTGTAGATCTATTCCCTCTGGAGCATGTTCCCAACTTAGGCATGCGTCTGTTGGCTCTGAAGGGAGAGTGCTCCTAGCGGTAACTCTGACTGCCTGCTCATCCAGTCTGCTCCCCTCTGACACTCTCTTCTATCCCCTTCTGGGGCCCTTTGCAGAGCATTGCTGCAACCTTGGAAGAACGGAGGATGTCGCCCAAAAGTGAATCAGTCTCCTGGTGATATGCACTAGGAGGTGCAGAGGCTGTTGGATGCTGTCTCTCCTTCCACATAGAGCATGGGCACAGAGAACCAGGAGGGCACACTCCAGATCTGCACAGATATCAACACTCTGACCTTGGCTGAGCTCCAGTCCTGCCAGGTGAGCCCGAGCTTGGCGGGAAAGGCGCCCACTGAATGGTCTCATTGAGAGTAACGACAGCACAGCCAGCCCCGTGGCTCTGTTCCATAAAGGAACTAACTTCCATAAATACGGGCCTACAAGTATCTCTGTAATATCTTCTCAGACCACATACACCAAGAGATTATTTTCTCAAAGCTATGTTCTGGGCCTATAGCCTCTTCTGGGAGGAATTTTTTTTAAATTAAAAATAAATTATGTGGGCAGGTGATGGTGGTGCAACCCTTAATCCTAGCACTCAGAAAGCAGATGCAGGCAGATCTCTGTAATTCTGAGGCCAGCCTAGTCTACAGAGTGAGTTCTAAGACAGCCAGAACTACACAAAGAAACCTTGTCTTGAAAAACCAAAAAAAAGAAAAAAAATTATGTGTAGCTAGCTCATGCCTTTAATCCCAGCACTCAAGAGGCAGAGTCAGGCTGATCTCTGTTGAAGGAGGATTATTCATCCAGCCATTTCACTATTGCCAATAAAGGTGTTGAATCAATAATCAATGATTGGCTGACCAGGACTAGCCATAGAGTTTGTGGAGGACTGGGCAAGTCTGCTAGAGAGGAATTGGCTGGCTGGGATTAGCCGTAGAGTTCTTGGAGACCTGAAGATGTCTGCTAGAGAAGACAGGAAGAGAAAAGAGGATTTCCAGGGTAAGTGTGTGGTGATATTGTGTTCCCCAAAATATTGTGCACCCTAATAAACTTATCTGTGGTCAGAGAACAGAACAGCCACTAGATACAGAGGCCAGAAAATGGTGGCACACATACCTTTAATCTTAGCATTCCTAAGGCAGAGATCCATTCGGATCTCTGTGAGTTTAAAGCCACACTGGAAACAGCCAGGCATGGTGACTCTTGCCTTTAATCCAAGGAAGTGATGGCAGAAAGCAAAAAGGTATATAAGGCATGAAAACCAGAAACTAGAAGCTTTTGGCTGGTTAAGCTTCAGGCTTTCGACTAGCAGTTCAGCTGAGATCCATTTGGATGAGGACTCAAAAGCATCCAGTCCGAGGAAACAGGATCACCTGAGGAATTGGTGATGTGAGGAAGCTGTGGCTTGTTCTGCTTCTCTGATCTTCCAGCATTCACCCCAATACCTGGCTCAGGTTTGATTTTATTAATAAGACCTTCTAAGATTCATGTTACACAAGTGGTTCATGAAAAGCACGGAAAGAGGGTTAGCCAATTGATTGTCTGTTATCCTTGGACTTATCAGGTCTTTATCTCAATTCCTGACTCCCAGGTTTTTATTATACTGGAACCATTTAGATATTCGTTACATCTGGCACCCAATGTGGGGCATTATTAAACCACACCACTGCTGCCACTGGCAGCTGGCTTGGTCTCCCTCCCCACAGGCCCTCCACACCTGTTTTTCCACATTGGGGGTTTTTCCCATGGCAGTCTTTCTATAGCAGCCTTCAGCTGCTGCCCACCCCAGCTCCAAAACACCACTGGGGTTCGACACCCCACCACCGGGTGTGCCCACACTTCCTGCCACGCAGGCCTCCCTTTGATTTCCCTCCCTGGACCGCCAACCCAGGTCAGCTCAGCCACCTTGAGACCTATGCAAGGCTCAGGCTTTTACTGATGTTGCCACCACCCCACGCTGCCAAGGGGCCTGGCCTTGCACTGCCCAGCCATGCTGAGCAGTGACAGCAGCTGCTGCTAGTGACAGGCATGGTGGTCTTACCCCATGCTGCACCCCAGCCCCACAGATCGCTCCCCAGGTTTCTTTATGCCAGTTCCCCCTCCCCCAGTGCATGCACAGCCACCATGGCCCCTCCTGCACCCATCCTCCCACATCGTCACTGTAGCTGATTACCCTGCACATCGCTGCCTGTGTCAACAGAACTGGTAAGACACCTGGGAATTTTTAAACATGGATTTAGGTCAAAAAAAGAAGAAAATCTTTCCCATGCTTGTTTGTTTGTTTTGGTTTTTCGAGACAGGGTTTCTCTCTGTAGCTTTGGAGCCTGTCCTGGACTAGCTCTGTAGACCAGGCTGGCCTCGAACTCACAGAGATCCACCTGCCTCTGCCTCCCGATTGCTGGGATTACAGGCGTGCGCCACCACCGCCCGGCCATCTTTCCCATGTTAAGAATCAGAAATATCACAATGCAGGGAATTAGGACCCTATTTAATGTTACTATGGTTGGCTTGAAAATGGAAAAAAATAAATGAGGAGATAAACAACTTAGCTGGCCATGGCATAATGTTGATCATAATTATTATCAGTATACAAAACTCCATACCAATGTAAAATATTTGAGACTAGTAGTTATCTTTTTAGTTTGAAAGTAGATTTAATAATCTACTCTTTTGTTAATGATGCAAAGATGTGTTACATTTGATTAAACAAAATTAACCTGGGGTCAGGAGGCTGAGTCAGCAACTAGCTGACAGGAAGTGGTAGGGAGGAACTAAGTGTAGCAAGGGTTCTTTAGTGGGGGCTGAGCAGAAGGATGGCCCCTTTTTCAGGAGATTTGAGCAAGGACAGAAGGCTAGCTATTTGCTGTTCAGCCTCTGTGAGCTAGGAGGATTTCACCAAAAAGGGGGGGGGTATTAGAATAAGATAAAAGGTTAGATTACTGAATCTACTTTAAACTAAAAAAACAACTATTAATCTCAAATATTTTGTATTGGTATGGACTTTTGTATATTGATACAAATTTAAAGTAATTTATGTTATACTGTTTATATGTTTCTACTCTTGTTTAAAAGGATTTTTGTATATTCTTACATACTTAAGGTTATTTTTGGTACAACATATTGTATGTTTCTACTCTTGTTTAAGATATTACACCTATGCAGTTTATTTAAAAATGTAAGGTAATGTTCTAGTTTTGAAATCTATTCTTATAAACTAATTAGGATAATCAAGAAACACAGGTTAGTAGTTAGTCAGCTATAACAATCAAATTTGTAGATGTTAGACATGTTTTCAAGATCATACAGAGATATATTTTAGATAGATAAATGCTCTTCAAATACTTAAAAGACCTATAGAATATGGCATTTAAAATGTTTTGTTAACATAGGGCCCTTCATAACAGTGAAACAAATCTACTTTATAAAAGGATAAGGGGCATCAAAGAAACTCCATATGGAGTTTCAATGTGACAAGACTAGCCATTTGGGCAAGAAACTGCTCTTGCCCTGACTCCTGACAGTATGCTGTACAGACTGGACAATCAAGACACAAAGGAAAAAGAATTTCAAGCTTTGCCAAGACAAGGCAGGACAGTCTTTCAAGATTTCTGCTTCATAGAAGAGTCTGCCAGATATTCTTCGGTACACAGAGGAAAGCAACTGATGAACTTTGCCAATACAAGGCAGGATAGTCCTTCAAATTTCCTGCTTCACTGAAAAGTCTGCCAGATATTCTAGGCCTTTAGGCTGAAGATTGATGCCCCACAGTTGCAGAGGAACTTTGGGTGACTGTCCAGGCAGCCAGATGTCTCTGTTGTTAAATAATATTACATCCTTCTGGGTATTTGATGGAGTTAAAGTCTAAATAGTTATAGTTCAGACACGGTGCTTCTGAAGAATTCTCACCCCTCCCAACCAGGCGCAAGCTGCATCAAGGAGAGGGTGGACTTCCCCACCTCTGCTCAGGCATCAGGAGATGGATGGGGGTCATTACTGCTGAGCGCCAGCGGCAGCTGGCACAGGCATCCCAAGGGAGTTGGCAGCAGCAATCACTGGTGAGCCTGCCAGAGGCCCAAGGGGTGAAGGGGTTGGCACTGAAGAGATCCCTGACATCACATTGGCGCTGCTGACAGGTGTACTGCCCCCTGGCATGCTAGATGAACTCATTCGAGCCTGGTCCTTCACAACAGTGGAGAAGTAAGGATGCTCCATGGCCTCTCTTGCAGTGAGCTGTGACTGGTGGTCATATCGTAGGAGCTTGTCCAGAAAATCCAAGGCCTCAGGGCTAACAAGGTGCTGGTTTTCACTGTGGACAAAGCGTTCCCATCGCTTACGAGAGTGTCTGCCCAAGATATCGTTGAAACGTGGATCTAATTCAATGTTGTACTTGTCAATATAGTCATATAAATCTTCTGTTCCCAGAACCTTGGCTATCCTCACCAACTGATCATAACTGTCATGTCCATGGAAAAATGGCTCCTTCCGGAAGATCATACTTGCCAGCATACAACCCAAACTCCACATATCCAAGCTATAATCATACATCTGATAATCTACAAGTAGCTCTGGACCTCTGAAGTATCGGGAAGCAACTCGGACATTATATTCTTGGCCAGGATGATAAAATTCAGCTAAGCCCCAGTCTATTAGCCTTAGCTTTCTGTGCTCATGATCAATCATGACATTATGGGGTTCCACATCTCTGTGCATAATCCCCATGCTGTGACAATAATCCAGGGCTTTTAGAATTTCATACATGTAAAATCGAATGTCATAGTCTGTTAATGTCTGGTACAATTGCTTGAAGTCTGTGTTGTTTACATGTTCAGAAACCCAGGCGGGCGTTTGTAACACAGGGGCTTTTACAATGTCTGCAAGTGTGATAATGTTGGGACCGCCTCTCAAATTCTCCAAAATCTTTATTTCACGCTTAATTTTCTTCTTTTTTACTGGCTTGAGAATTTTAACAACAACTTTTTCATTATTTGTGATGTTGATGGCTTCAAACACTTCACTGTATTTGCCCCTGCCTAATTTTCGAACAAGCTGGTAGTCATCTTGATTTCTTTAGCCCAGGCTGGATCAAACCCTTGACAATTCTTTTTTTTTTTTTTTTTTTTTGGGGGGGGGAGGTTTCAGACAGAGTTTCTCTGTGAAACCAAGATTTCCTTTTTTAACTTTGTCTTTATGCAACTTGATTAGTAAGTGACTGGGTTCTTGGTTTGTTCAGATTCTTTGATCTGAAATATTTTTCATCAAATTTGAGAAGTTTTGAGCTATTTCTGTTTGTTTTAGGGTTTTGTTTGTTTCTTTTTCTTTCTTTTTGTTTATTTATTTATTTATTTTTTGGTTTTTCTGTATGTCTTAGTTAGAGCTTCTGTTGCTGTGAAGAGACACCATGACCATGGCAACTGTAGTGGGTACTTGTTTCACTTATGACCTTGAAGTACTAACCCCTAGGGCATGGCTTTGGGGCTATCTTAAGTTGAGGGGCACATATGCCTGGCCCCTTCTCTCCCTCATGGGCTTGAATGGTGCGGACTAACTCAGGTGGCAGGAGCATCACAGGACACAACCTCAGCCTTTCAGGACCCTGCAACGATTTGCCTATTTTGTTTAGTGAGTTGTTTTCTCCAATTTATGTCCTAATAAACTCCCTATACCCCTTAAGCAGACTCCCTTGTATTTCTCACTATAGTCAACTCTTATAAAAAAATAAACATTTAGGCCAGGCAGTGGTGGCGTATGCCTTTAATCCCAGCACTTGGGAGGCAGAGTCAGGTGGATCTCTGTGAGTTCGAGGCTAGCCTGGTCTACAGAGCAAGCTCCAGGACAGACCACCAAAACTACACAGAGAAACAAACAAACAACAACAAAAACTTTAATTGAGTGGCTTACTTGTCAGATGCTGCAGGAGAGGCAAATGACAGGCAGCAGTGGTGACTTGCAGAGTGCAGCAGAGACTTTGGACCCCAGTGTTGGAGCAGTCTGTCACCTGGAGCCAGAGTCCCCAGCAGCCAGAGCTGAGTGAGGGACGTCCCAGGAAAGCGTGGGTGGAGAGCCAAGCAGGCAGCTGGAGGGCAATGTGCAAGGTGCCTTGGCTGCTGTACAAGAGACAAAGTCTCCAGAGAACCCTGCCCTGAGGCTAGCCTTCAGCCATGCAAGTAAGGCAGCACACAGAAGACTCAAGGCCACTGGCAGAGCAGGTAAAGGAGCCGGGGTGCAGCAGTGCAGCTGGTCAAGGCTGGGTATCCTCCCCAGGGTGCTGAGCGAGAGCTGCAGCTCTTGCCAGTGGGCAGCACCTTGAGCTCCTTGTGTGCCAAGCAGTTAAGAGCCCTTGGGCCTCAGGACACTGGGGTCTCTGGGTGGACAGGCCAGGAGCCAAAGCCTCGCAACTTCCATTTGCTAGCAGTGGCCAAATGCATGGCTCCTTTACGAGCTGGCTTCCCGGTTCATGCTGGCTGTATGGAGAGCTCTTTTGAAGAGGTCTGCACTGCTCAGCTAAGGTAACACCACCTTCACCCTAAGGCAGATTGCCTAGGGGAAGTCCACTGGTGTCAAGTTCCTCTGTAGCTGAGAGTGGGTTTTCAAAGACTCTTGTTTGAACTGGGTTGCTGCATGCAAGGGAACTGCAACAAGCTTTGGTAATGAGACATTTTGTATTTGGAGCTTTTGCTTTGGACTCATTATGACTTGGACAGCTATACAAAGACGTCAGGGCAGCTCATGAGCCAGGCCCTGATCTTGAGCTTTCAGTGGAACATCAAGACTGGTCAGAACTGACTTTTTGAACTTTTCAGACTTCAGAAATGGGATGGACAGGAGTGCTTTAATTGCAATGGAACTGTTTTGTGTATGCATATAAACTTTTATTAACTGTGGTGACTCATGAACTGTTTTATGTAGGAATAGAGAAGGGTTTTTTTTTTCTACCCAGGCTCAAGATGGAGCTTCAAAAATATAAAGTAAGGGGGAGTTGTTATATTCTATTTAATTTAAAACTCTATTTAATTTTAAAAGGTACTGATAAATAGGAGTTGATAAAGTTTTTGCTGTGGGACTGTAGCATCTCAAACACAAAAACATTTTCTTGTCCCTTGAGTGGACTAATGTTAGCCTGTGTTAATGTACCCTATGTTTTGTTAGCAAAAAATGCAAAAAGTTCTATTAAGAAATTGCTTTGGGATGTTTTCTAAAGTTTATGAAGTATAAATAGTTCTATTAAGAGTTTGCTTTTGGATGTAAGTTTATGAAAATTGTAATTGTGTATAGTAATATTCATACTAGAATTGTGATGTTAACTTGTTAATATTAATAAACCATGGTATGGTGATGCTAAGGAGTAATTAGATTTGATGTGGTTGCATCAGGAGTTTATTGATTTAAAAAGGGGGCTGGATCCAGCTATAACTGCTATAGTCATCTTAGACCCATTTAAAAATTCTATCTCAATCATCTTCTACTCCTTTATTAGGAAGTACAGCAGCCATAACAAGCAGGGGCATTGCTATGATTATTCTAGCTACTTGCAAGCTCTTTGTGGAAAGCTGATTCAGTGCTGATTAGAGTTAAGCTCTGTACCATCACTTAAAAAATTTTTTATTATTAAGAAGGGGGAATTGTGGAGGCCCACAAAGGATTACTAATAAGACCTTACTCAAGGTCAGAAAATCTGAGCTTGCATTACCCAGCAGAGTTGCACAATGGGATGATTTGGTCACAGGCATGGTTACCAGGTGTCTTGAAGGGTCTACACTTGGCTGTACATTGTGCTTTGAAAGGGGGAGGTCTTTTGCCTCACTCTTTGGCATTGTATAAAAAGCCCTTTGGAATAAACCTCGAGGCAACTCGGCCTATTTTGTTTAGTGAGTTGTTTTCTCCAATTGATGTCCTAATAAACTCCCTGTATTCCTTACAGGTCCCTTGGATTTCTCACTATATCTGGCACCCAATGCTGTTTAGTGAGTTGTTTACTGCAGTTTATGTCCTAATAAACTCCCTATACCCCTTAAGCAGACTCCCAGACTCCTGTATTGACTCAGGGCCCTCCTGAAGCTATCCCGTGTCTCTGTCTTTCTTATCATTTCCTTCTTTCTATCTAATACTTCCTCATTCCTCCCCTCAAGAACCCTTTGACAGGTCGGAGCTGGACTCTGACAGACTCCCACATTTTGTTGTGTTTTTTTGTTTTGTTTTTGAGGCATGACCTCATGTTGCCCAGGCTGAACTTTGTGTGTGT